GTTTTTGACGTCGCAGTTCAAGTATTAATGCAAAGTGATTGGTTAAATTCGCTCCGAGTCTCGATAATGATTAGTTGGTAAAGGGGGCTAATAAAAAGGACCTGAAAAATTTAACTACAAGTAATGTAGGAGGCGTAGGGCTATAAGATCGGTTATTGAACGTTTCCTAGTCCATTTTATTCCTAGTCAAGATCTTGGTGAGAGGCTATGCTGATCATTGAGAAAACCATATTTCTCACGTAAGACGATACTCCTCAATAAAAAATTCTTTTCATGAAATTAATTCTGAAACATCATACTAATCTCTCGCCTTACTTATTTTACATTTTCAATCAAGAATCTAGGAAACCATTTACCACTAGTTTTTCTGAAGCCAAAAGATCTCTAATAAAGGATCGAGCACTCCAGTTGCTGATTCCCCTTTTCGTCGAGATTTCTTCAACAATGCACTGGTAATAAAAATAAGTGATAAAGATAGTGATAGATCCACTATTATTTTTCTTCCCTCTCCTTTCGATACCACCTTGTTTGGGTTATAACTATGTCTCTATATTTTAAACAGGCAGAAAGAAAAATGTGATTGATATCTAAGGCAGGATTGTTTTTATTTTTTTTAATGAAACTTAATAAAAGGCAGTAATTGTTTTTATTTATTCATTTTTCATGAATTAAATTAAAATATTTTATGTTCATTTATAATAAAATACTATACATAATGAATTCATGAGTGTTTCGAGTTAATACTGAAATTAAAGTATCTTCTATATGACAGATACTTTACTATTATCTATAGTAGTAATAGCCGCAGACAATCTGTTTGGCATTCAAAATGAGCTATCAATTGTTTCACACATATCAACAAAATTCCAGAATTTTTGCTTATATTTTTTTCAATAACATAAAAATATAATAATGAAGAAACAGCAGAGCTCAATAAACCAAAAATTAATTAAATAATGTTACTTCAAATAGAGTTGATTCGGGTTTTTATTTCTATGACATATTTCACACCAATTAATTGATTAAAGAATCGTTAACACCAATAATTATTCGTGAATTGAGGCTTGATGTCACAGGATTGAATATTCTTTACCTATAATTGTATGAAAAGACCAAGTCTTAGAAAATTTTTGAACGATTTTGTGGAAGACCATGCACGAAGAAATACAAATACAAAAGTACTAGGATAACTCTGTATTAATGTTTTCAAATGAGTTTCGCTTATATTTTCAAATATTTTGAAGAAAAAAATTATTTAGTTCTATTTAACAAAAAAATTGTAATATGTCATGTATTGAGTTTTAAATGCAGATTTTGCTTCCTCGGAAAGCCATCCTATTCCTCACTTACATATATAATGCTGTGCTCCGATCCACATATTTCCCTTATCCTTGGAAACTATCTATTGTAAAAATGTTACACATACCTAAAAAACCACCCGAACACCCATCCTCTTACCGTCCTACTTCTCTATTACCTATCATGGGCAGAATCCTGGAAAAACTCATCGTAAATCGTCTGTATCCCATCCTAGACTCTAATCACATTATCCCTGATCACCAATTTGGATTCCGCACATCGCATTCCACTATCCAACAATGTCATCGTGTGGTTGATGTAGTCTCCTTTGCATTGGAGCGCGGTATGTACTGCACGGGAGTCTTTCTCGATGTTGGACAGGCGTTTGATCGAGTCTGGCACCCGGGTCTTCTGTACAAACTCCGAAAAGTCCCACCCCCTACACACTTCCTCATTATCCGTTCCTATCTTACAGATAGATACTTCAAAGTAAACCAAAATAATGTCTGCTCATCCCTCTTTGCTCAATCTGCAGGCGTTCCACAAGGTAGTATCCTCGGTCCCATCCTCTACACAGTTTATACAGCTGACATCCCAACCCATCCTGACACTGTTATCACCACTTACGCCGATGACACATGTTTGCTATCTGTTAATAATGATTCTTTAATTGCATCCCAAACTCTTCAATCACATATCACAAGCCTTGAAGAATGGTGTAAAAATTGGAGAATAAAAATAAATTCCAATAAATCCCATCAAATCACCTTTACCCTCCGTCGTAAACCTACGACTTCTTGTCCTACAGTATCCTTCAATAATACACCACTTATTCCTGTTGAGCATATCCGCTACTTAGGACTCCACTTGGATAAAAGTCTTACTTGGAATCCTCATACTAGACTGAAACGACAAGAAACTGCTCGACGTTTCAAACTGCTCCAACACTTACTAGACAAACGCTCTAAACTTTCAATTAATTACAAAAGACTTATCAACATAACTATAATAAGACCTATATGGACATACGGAGTTGAGCTTTAGGGCTCCACCAAACCATCGAATTCCTATCGTATCCAATCCTTACAATCCAAAATCCTCCGTAAAATCCTTGATGCTCCATACTTTGTCACAAATAAAACCATTCATAAAGACCTTAATGTACCATATGTCGCTGATTTAGCTCGAGCCAGATATCTATCATTTCATGATAAACTCCAGTCCCATCCAAATCCCCTTGTTTCCACCCTTGATTCTTCCTCGATCCCTGGTAATCCTCCTAGGCGACTGAAAAGGATATGTCATTATTTATAATTTGTGCATATTTACTGGTTTTATTTGTATACAGTTGTAAATTTCATTAAATAAACAAACATAAACATAAATGCAGATTTAATGTTTAGTAAAAAGAAATATGTTTTTATCATTAGGTATCAGGTATCTGTTAAAGCTCGCTCGTCTGCGTGCAATTAGGAAGTGCAGAAAAGCAAGATAATTTTTTATGAGATAGTTAAGCATTAGTAGTTAATAAAACCACTTTTTATGAGCCATTAGCGATAAAACATGAAATTTTTGTATTCCACAATCTTTTCAATATAATTCAGTTTATACCATAATAAGGTCTCTATTTGTTCAAATGCTTGGAAAGTCATGTTTATTGTTGAATAATTTATACGGAGAAATAGTTACTTTTTCATTAGGAAGTTTTTCATTACCCCTTTAGAATTTTCGTCTACGAAGTGACGTCATCCATTGGAAAGTGGAGGTAGATGTATTTCAGTTTTCACCGTATTAAAGATCAGACGGATTCTTTAATTAATTTGTATAAAACTATTTGAGTTTCAGCTGAAAATAAAATTTAATGCTATTAGTTCTGTGTTAATTTACTTTCCCGAAAAGTGAACATTTATTTTCGCCATCATGAAATCAATATGTATATTGAATCAGTTGTGAGGTATAGTTTTGTGATTACGGGTGTGTTTGTATAATGAACTTTTCTGCTTAATTTCGAATTGTAGTGTTTAGTTTCTGTTAAACATGCAGAGAAGTGGTAAGTTGATATGTTTTTTACTTTTAAGTTATAATATTTCCAAATTTTAGTTAAGATTTATGTTAAATCCTGTTAAGATAACATGGCGCCAAAATTGTTATTTATATTTTTGACGATTTTTTTGATTTGCACAAATTGATTTGTTAAATACTATTAACTAATTGAACCTAAAGAATCCTTTGGTTATTTACATCACATTGTAGAATTGAAACCTCTAACTTTCAGGCTATCTAAAAGATTGTTTTCTGTGACATTCTAACTCTATTATTCAATATATTATTTGTGTTATATATGTGTAAGCCTTATTTTCTTCATTACTTATTGAGCTTTATGTCAGTGGTTATAATTTGTTAGTTTTAAAACATAAACCCTTATGAATACATTAGATTTTTTCAGTGTTTCATATAATAAGAATTAGCTTTTAATTATCTAACTGGACTAAGGTTATCTGTAAACTTTTGTGTTTGAAACAATAATTTTTGTTTATATTTATTTAGTTGTAAAATGTGAACTTGTAATTATGCTCTGTTTAACCTGTCGTTCCTTTCATTGACAGGTCATATCATGACTAGAATGTGTGCATTAGATACTGTTCATTATGTTAAGTAAAACGAGGCCTAATGGGTGATTTGTTTTTATCGCAGCATGGTCCATGTTATCTTAAAGAATTGATTTATTTCAGTTTTTTACTCATATATCCTACTGTATACGTCCCCTTTTATTTAGTTTAGTTGCAATTATTTGTTAGCTGCATTGTTAAACTTTCAGGAGTCATTATTAATGTATTTTCTTTCATTTTTTTTTCATGTTTGCACCATCGTTCCTCTTCTACAAATCATAGCTGTAAGTACACTTTTATATGTCATACTAGAGTTGATAAGTAAATGTTAGCAGCTACTAATTACTGTGAATCATAATATGTGACTCACCTTCATTGGTTGTTTTATTTTCTTAAATAATATGGTGTTCATTTGTTACTAATTTGTTGACATTCTTTGTGTTATTTGACAATAATCACTCTTATTTTGTGTTTTAGTATTTCATAAATACCATAGTTTCTTTAACTTAAACGTTTCGAATCCTCCATTAATTTGTTTTTTGTTTTTTTTACTCATTTAACTGTTTCATCTTTGACTATACTGTTTCTGTCATAATATTTGTGCTACAGATGATTAATTTTAAAACTTGGCTATTTGTTATTTATGACACTAGATTTTATAATAGTAGGTTTAATTTCTTTATTATATATTTTTTAAATTCACTTTTAATTTTAACTGCTACACCTATTTCAATGCGGGAATTTTAATGTTTTATCAATAAAATAAAAATGTACATATTGGGTAATAAAATATAATTATTTTTATATTAAAGAGGATCAAATTTATGGGATTTAAAAGATGTTTTTATAAATATCTTTTTCAATTTAACATTTTTGAAGAATATTTTATTTATGTTTTGTGTGTAATAGTTTTTATTTCTCCTAAATTGTCATTTAGATTTCCTTCTGTTTACTGTGTATAATAAGACTTACTGTACTGCAATAATATTAATTTTTAAGAAATATATAATATTCATAGGATGAGTAGTAGGGTGGTGGAAGAGATAATAGTGAGGGGGAGGGGTAGTGATAGCTGCACAGTCAGTCTGTGCAATGAGTGCAGTCAAGGCCCATCTAGGGAGAAAACCTAGCCCACCTCCAATTCTTCCCAAATATTCAAGTGTTGGTTTACATTTATTATTTATTTATTAAAGATAATTTTATAGGTATATTTTATGTTGTATTTCATTGAAAATTTGTTGGATTTTTTTTTTTTTTTCATTATTCCTAAATGTATTCTTACCTCAGTTATTTGTTTCTATAATTTTCTCTATACTATATGAATATGCTGAAAGTACCATTATCTGATCTGTGGTGTTTTTGGTTTTTGTATTAGAATGTTGTCTGTTTATGTTTATATAAAAACTTTCTTGCTTTAATCTTGTTTTTGTTTTACTTATTAACCTTTTTTGTATTTCAAAAAATGGTAATGTTTAAATTTTGTTTTAAGTGGTGTACTATAGATGATGTTCATGTTTCTTAAAATATTGTATCTTTTGAAACCTTTGTTGTTGGTTATTGCTTAGACATCTGGTGAACACATGCTTACCAAATGACTCCAACTGAATACTGTTTTAAACCTATCCACTCCCCTCTTCCTCTTGTTAACAAATATTAAATATTCTGATTATAAAGTTAAGGCTCTTGAGATTATTAGAAACTATATTAATAGCATTGTTAGAAGAAGGAAATTCCTACCCTTGTTGTTGCTCTTTTGAATACTAATATTCCATTGATGTGTCTTGAATAGCTATTAATCTTTTCCTTCTCTATTACTGTCATTACTTGTATAAGCCTATTTTAAGTAGCATTAAACAACATGATAACAAATTTAATTATTTATTTAAGATATTTGTATAAACAAAAATAATATCATTAGAAACAAAATAATTGTTATTCAAAAAGCTTTAAATATTCTTTAATAATAATCAACCGTCTATTGACTTAAGTATTTCTATGTTTATGTTTACTTTTTTTTCTTTATTGAAAGAGAATGATCTCTTTGTAGCTCTCATTGAGATAACATTCTGTATCCACCAGATATTAGCTTACTTGATAAATAGACTGTTATTTTACCATATGTATATGTATATATTAGTTGAAATCAATCTAATTTTTATCTCTTTTGTTTTGAAACATAAAAATAAATAGGATGTTTAGCCAAATATTCAAAGGTTGCTCAGATCAAAGCTCTCATAGTACCACACACAAGCCGAAAATTTATTATTGACTCAAAATGTTTTATTTATAGGATATATTTAACATTAACCTCCTATCCTTATCCCTGAAACCTTTTTATTATTCATATCTCTATAAAGCCTTTTAATTTTCAAGAGTATAAAAGTATAAAACAGAACAAAATTTGAAAGATTTAGTGCATTTTACGTTCCATTCCTTTATTCTTCGCTTTATTTCTCATCCCATCCAAAACATCATCTCCTTAGTTTAATTAATACTACTACTTCTAACCTATGCCGTGCCTTGGCTTTTGAGCCATATTATAACTCACTGACCAGTAAAGACGTAAAGCATTTATGTGAATTCTTGGCACCTACTCTGTGGGATGTGGTCTAGGGCTGAATATTCCATTCCGGTCATCAGCATTGATCATTCTGCAACCACGTAGTGGACTAATTTTATGAATGGTCGGTTATATCTCAGTTAAACATAGTGTTTCTGTTGTGACTTACATCAGCTGATTTTTTTAATTAAATAGTTTTGTATCCATAAAACTAGAATAGGTTTTATTTCATATCAATGGGCACGTTAAAATCTTATTCCTGATGCCAGAGGTAGTTATTTTGCCCTTTTTAGGCCTTATGACTTTTTATATTACAAACAATGAGATCTTATTTCAAGAGTTTCAGAAACTGTAAAACTCTTCTTCTCTCTCTCTCTCTCTCTCTCTCTCTCTCTGAAAATGTTAATTGGGCACTTGCGTAAAATATCAATTGTTATTCGACAGTGAAGAACAGGTTATTGAAATAAAAATGCAAAAAGTTCATAATTTTTCTGATGAAAATTTGTCAAGATAATTAGGGTTAAAGAAAAGTGGTGGAGACAGAGCTACGTACCAAGAGTGAGACATGGTTATAAGATGTTGTCAGCTCATAGCTTATATAGTTTGATGTCTTATACTTTTAGTTTAGTATTTCTAGCTTCATAATTTCCTTTCAAGAAATTACCATTTTCTTTTACTCTGTCGTGTCTGAGTAAAAATATTTAGTTTGAAATATATTTTATACCTTTTATAAATTCATGTTTGTTGTATTGAACGGGGAGAGGCTTGACAGTGTCGTGTTTACCTGTCGCAAATGTCACATTACGTTGGGTACACCCCCTGTTCTCATCTTACCTCCCAGATGCTTTATTATTTTAAATCTTCTGTGAAATATATACCTTTTTTTAAAATTGTTATTATTATTTTAAAAGGGCAGTCTCAATCTTAGATATGATCTTTATCACTTGAATTCTTTTGCAGCTGAAATTCAGATGATTTTTTTTTCTTCCGACTACCTAATTCTTTGGAATCCTGCTAACCTTTTGGTTTAAATACTCTCACACTAAGCATCTACAGCTGTTGGTATATTGATGCTCAATTTACATAATTGAACTAAACTGCTGTAAATTGGATACATTTTCTTGGAATATAAGCCTGACTAGCTTCCTACTGTCAGTTATGTAGAAGTCGTTGATACAAAAAAAATTTTTAAACATCATTTAAAAATCATCATCCCCGAGCTCGAAAATCCATTACTGGATCTTGGCTACCTCATGTTTCCCTATCCTGAGCAGCCGTCCACCAGTTCCTGATTCCGTGGATTCTGGAAACAGCCATCTCAGTTTCGATCTGCCTACTTTTCTTTTTCCAACCGGCTCCATGCTGGGCAGCTTTTTTGAGGTTAAGGTCTCGTCCATACGTACAACATGTCATCTTTTAAACAGATAGGGATTGTAGATTTGTCCGCTATAGAGAAAAGTTCATTATGGGAAGTTTTACTGTACATTTTTTTTTTTTCTGTTAGGCAACAGAACTTTACAGACCTTGTAGGTTTTTGACACTTGCTTGAACTAGCCTTCTCCTTATCTTGGACTATTGCTGTTCAGTTTTCTGCATGCATATCTGGGCCGTCTTAGTTGATTCAATCTATTCATCTGGTTTTTGTCCTTCCACGTGATTCTCCTGCTAACTATCGATACATTCATTGTTGAGTGAAGGCTTCTTGATGGATTGCTCCAAAGTACATGTCCGGCCAATCTTAATCTCCTTTCCATCATATCATGAAATATTGAGTTACCAGTTTCTGTAAGCAGTTCTTTATGGGTCCTTCTCCTTCATGTGTTAGTACTCTGATCCCTGATTGCTCTGGGTTATCTTGCAGAAGATTTTCTTCATATCTTATAATACTTCTTTATAGGGTGATGTTTACTGTCCAGGTCTTGCAGCCATTGATCAGAATAGGCTTTATCAAAGCATTGTACACCCCTAAGTTGAGATTTTCAAGGATTTCAATACCTTTGAAAGAGAAAAGAAAACTTTTCACTTGTTATACATTTATTTCTGACTATTAATCATTAATGAAGTCATCATTTAGCCAAAGTACTTGAAAAATAAAAGTAATATTAAACAAAGAAAAATTATTTAAATTAACCATTTTGTGACGTAAGGTAGGCTTCTGTGAGACGAATTTTGATTAATTGCTTTGTACAATTCATCTTCGAGATGCTGAGGGGCACCTCTCTCTCCCATTTTTATGAAGCATCAAAGTGGTTTAATCCTTCTTACCCTTGTAAATATTTCCTGGCATCCTTCCTCTTCCAAGTTATCTTATCCCGCCATCTATCATACATCTCCGAGCTCCTTCAATTCAAATCCTCTGTTCACTCCCGGAACACTCTGTCTAGTTCTTCAGATTTATATACAACGGCCCACTGAACCATGGCTTTGGCAGATCTTTCTTTATTCAATCCCCATCCTTATGGAACTCCATCCCGTTCCATATCAGTCGCTCAAATTTTTTTATATTCGTAAATTTTCTGACAGTACTGGCTGTTTCCAACAATACTGCTTTTCTATGGCCTTAAATGATAGATCTAGTTGCCGCAAAGAAGATTGAGTCCTTTGCATGAGATTACCATCGGTAGAATTTGGCTTTCCTTTAAATGGTACTGTTATATTTCTTCAGCTGATTCTACATATTTTCTGGGGGGTTTTCGCACTTTCTTATATAGTTTAACATCAGAAGGAAAGGTTCCTTTACTGGACTTGATAAGGGTAGTGAGGGGAAAAGTAATGAAAGACTGGCAGCATTTCTACGACTGGGAATGTGTCTCGAAGGATAAGGATCATCATATAGTTCGACAGAAGATAGCACTGGTTCCATGGTTTGTGACGTAAAAATTTCATCTCGATCGCTTCAGCTCAGTACAGCATTCATTAATGAGTGATAAAATCGCCCATGTAAAGGTTTATTTTTCCATATTTCTGTCAAATTGGCATCATCTGTTTCACTAATTGGGATTCTAAGGCGTCATAGATTTAGAACTGTGTAATTTGCATTTAATGATGCAATAGCTGAGAGGATGTTGGAGGTATGGTTTAAGATGTCATTTTGAATATTATTTTCTTCCTTCAGGCATTAATTTAAGAAACTAGTTAGACCATGCCCTTTCTTCTTCCTGGGAAGAACTGACCTTGATTCTGAGGGCTTTAGATGCCTCTTCCTCGTAAGAACCATCTGGACTCTAAGAATATGATCCAGGAATTTGTTAGTTTAATCCAATGATGTTGTTTCTGAAATTTCACCATATTATTTACATCAAAAATAGCTTTTTTATTATTTGATATGCTGGTTTCTGTAGATTTATGTATTTTTTTCTGTTAAATATACAAAAGTTGACATCAAAAATTAATATTTAATTAATAAATTTATATTTACAACTTAATTGACGTTTAACGTAAAATTTTAAATAGACAATAAAATTCATCAAATTAATTCATACTTCAGCGTTTTAATTGAGTTTTTGTAGACATAAGTGTATCCCATCGAAAGTCATGTCTCTGGTCATATAACAGCTGTTTTTCCCTTCAGGGCTTGGTTCAAACTCATCCATTGTAGTCTATAGCTATTTCCTGTGATAGTTCTGTTTGGTTTGAGCAGCTCATATTAAATTAAACTATGCTGTTGTCACCAAATGCAAAGGAGAAACTTTCACTCATGGATATTCGGCTTTGCAGATGATGTTGACGTATGGCCAGGCTTACCTCTTGATTTTTTAAACTTAGAAATATCATACTTTGTCCATTTATCATCGTCAATCATGATACAATGCAGAAATATTTCTTTTTTGCTGGTGAAGCAACAATTCACACATGAGAAAATGTTTCTCAGCTTCAACTTGTAGGGCACCCAATGTCCTTGGTCTGGATCATTCCTAATGCTTTCAAGTTTTTTGAAACCATTGTGGCATCTACTAGTATTGATTTTCAAAGTTCAGCTTGTGTCTGATGTGGGTCTTCATTTAGTAATTTCTTCAATTCTTTGTCTTTAGACTTTTTCGTACGCCAGAGTGTTCTTTATCTCCCAGATTAAAATCATTATTTTTGAAGCACTGAAACCATTCTCTAAATGTAGTTTCCAACAGAGCACACTCTCCATAAGTCTCAACAAGAATTCTGTGTGCTTCAGCTGCAGATTTCTTTTGAATAAAATAGTAAAATAAAATTCCTTTCAAATAGTCTTTAATTGGCATAAATCTTGACGTTGTTAGAACTACGAAAAAAACATAGTTTATACTGTGGCGAACTAACATACTCTGAATCCAAGCTTGCCGACAGTAGTTCTTGATAAAATGTGTTACCATCTGAAAAGAAATACACTGGTGTTGCTATCTGTTAGGAAACAGCGAGAACTTATTTATGGTCAGGTCCTCTTATTTTATTAATATTGCATGTATCAACCTTCATAAACATTTTGAGAAAATAATAGATTCAACTTAAAAACACTACTACTACACCATTTGTAATTGCTATGAATAATTGTTAAGTCTCAATTGATGTATTTTTAAACAAATATTATCGTATGCTTTAATACATTCATTTTTTTTTTAATTTGCAGTTACAATCAAAAAGAGAACTTTTCTTCAAAAATGAATTACCTTCAGGTAGTGTCAATAGTGTCAGTGAAACTCCAATGCCTGTTTGCGCAAGTACACCATTAAAAGATCCAGTAAATAAACGACATGACAATGAATCAACCAGAGGTTCTTCGCTCATATTTTTTTTTTGTCATAAAGTTATATGATGATTTACCAATATTTTTAAAAACTCTATTTCAATTGATTTCTAGGCCACGAAAGTAATATTGGAGAAACATTCGATCGTTTCAACAAATTGGATAGGGATCGCACATTGCCTGAAAAAAAAACCAAGGAAATAGAGAGTTATGTTGGCTTTGCAAATCTTCCAAATCAGGTTTACAGGAAAGCTGTAAAGAAAGGTTTTGACTTCACTCTAATGGTTGTAGGTATGCACTTGTAAATAAATCTTTTAAAGTGATGTTAATTGTTTTTTTTATTATTATTATTATTATTTTTTCAATTTTTGTTGTCTGTAATAATAATATTTTCTGGCAATACGATGTTGGAATGCTAGAATACTTTTTCAAATAAAAAAAATTTTTTTTAATGTTTACATTTAGTAAGAAAATTTCATTTAATTTCTTACTAAATGAAAACACGTGATTTACATTAAATAATGTTAGTTTTTAGAAAAAAAAAATTTTCCACCAATCTGTAACCTTCTACAGCTTTCTATATTAGATTTTTTTTTTTAATTCTCAATTTTCCAACGATATATTATACGTATACTTTCTGGCTATTATTTCCGGATATTCATTTTCAGCCTGGATAAGTATTTCTCTTTTTTTCTCCTTTATTCTGTTGTCAAATTCTTTCAAAAGTTGTATTTAGAACTTTTTCATAACTCCTAACAATGAGACGTAGTTATTATTTATAATAAACCAAATTAAAGGTACTTTAGAGGAAGACATGATAATGTTGGAATTTCACAAAGGGAAACATCATCAAATTATTCACTAATTTAATTTTCTCAAAAGTGACATGACGATTTTTCGGAATAAATGGACATTGATACCTAATTATTTAAATATAATATCAGATCGAGAATTATTAAACTACAGTAAATGTATTTAAGGTTATAAACATATGCTTTATACATCCATGAAATATTTTTTTTTAACAATCTCATTGCCTTGATTATTTGGATTTTATATAGTTTTTTCAAACTTAAAAATATTTTAAAAGTTAACATTTAGTTTGTAAATTTCATTTAATTTCCTTGAAAATATGTGATTTATGTTAAATGATATTAGTTATCAAAAGTTGTTATTTATAATTGTTTTGCCACTCTCTGTAACCTATGACTTTCTATATTAGATATTATTTTTTCTACAATCTTCGCTTTCCAACGTATACCTTCTGACTAGTATTTCCGGTGATTCATTTTCGACCTGGATAAGCATTTTTATTTTTTTCTCCTTTATTCAATTATCAAATTCTTTCAAAAGTTATATTTAGAATTTTTTTGTAACTCTTATTAATGTGAGATAGTTAATTATTTAAAATAAATCGTACTAAAGGTGCTTTAGAAAGACATATATGAACATTAGGCATTTAAGCCCTGTAAAGTGATATCAATGGAGATAACACCTAATTGATATTAAAGACCACTTAATTATACAATGCTATACCGAATTTAATCAAAATCATTAAAGCCGTTTTTGAGAAAATTGTAAAAAATGTTTTTCACCGTTGATATAAAGTGGCACTTCCAGTTAGCCAATTTTTACGAAAAAGTTGCCGTAACATACAAGGTATATACAAACCTTAAATATGAAATTTCACTTTCATACAACTTTATGTTTTTGAGCCCGACTATTTACATACATACACACACCCAAACCATTTTGCGAGACTTGATGAATAACCAAGTCCAAATAGGACTCGAGAGACCTCAAAACACGTATTTCCATTGAAAACTCAGAGTCAAAAATTTTTCACCATGTAATTTAACATGTTAGTTACTTGTTTATATAACATTACATATTTATGTGTATATGTAAGTTATTTCGAAAATGTTACTATTACTATTGCTACCATATTTTGCTGTACAGACCCCTTTTTATCAAATTATTAACATCTGTCAAAAACGTCATGAATGGCTTCATCTTATCATAACTGCAACTTTTTTATTTATAAAAATTCTTGGAAATAGTGTGTGTATGTGTAGAAATTGCTAAACTTTGTCTTCTTAATGAGGCACTAAAAACTCATGACACCTATATTTTTTTTCCACTTGAATCGTAAGATAATTTTGCCACAAAATAGAGAAAAAAGTGGCTTACAAAAATATTTGGCCGTTTGGCGTGATCACCACCCCCTACATGTCAAAATAACAAGGTTGAGTATTCCAAATGGTCCAAAATTTTTGTAAGCTACATTTTTCTTGATTTTGTGATCAAATTATCTTAAGATTCAAATGGAAAGAAAATGCATATTTATGAGTTTTTAGTACTTCATTAAATTAGTTATGTGAGAAATTGACCCTTTTCTGAGAATTTTCGAGGCCAGACTCTTAAGTTTTAGATGGATGTTAATAAATGTGATTTAAAGCGAGTTTGTATGGCAGAATATTATGCACCATACTATGTACAATAAAAATATATTTTATAATACTTATTTCATTTTTCTAATATATATGAGTATATATAATTTTCTTTTTTTCACCTTGCTGAATATCATTTGACATTTGATGTTATTCACTTCTGTAATACTAATGCATTTTTTCGTTTTTGATATATTTCATTAAATGTATATATGTTTTGTTGCTTTTATCTAGGTGAATCAGGTTTGGGGAAATCAACACTTATCAATTCCATGTTCTTGGCTGATATTTATAGTGCTGATTATCCTGGTCCTTCACAGAGGATAAAGAAAACAGTTCAAGTTGAAACAAGCCGTACCCTCCTTAAGGAAAATGGTGTTAATTTAACTTTAACAATTGTAGACACTCCTGGTTTTGGTGATGCAGTAGATAATTCAAATTGCTGGCAACCTATTACAGATTATATTGAATCAAGGTATGACTTTTAAGATTTTTAAACTAGTAAATATTTGTTTTCCAATTTATATCATTTCGGTGACTTTATATTTATGGTTTTTGTTTAGCATTTCAGTCTTTGTGAAAAGGATTGTAGAAAAAGGAGAAACATTCAAATTTTATTATTTCATATAAAAGGATTGTGGACAATTTCTGTGTCAATTGTTTTTTTCCCAATTTATTATTCAAATTTTAGACTTGCAAATACTACCAGAAAAGTGAATTTTCTGATACCTTCAATGGTTGATAGTTAGTATAGTTAATGGAAATTTCACTGACTTCCTGAAGGAAACAGATTTTATGATATTTGGAACTGTAGTAATTTAATTTAACTATATATATTAATAGACTGAGAATTAAAATTTTGAATAAAACTATTGGATTATTTCATATAAAAGGATTATGGACAATTTCTCTGCCTATTGTTTTTCCCAATTTATTATTCATATTTTAGACTTCCAAATACTACCAGAAAAGTGAACTTTCTGATACCTATTCTTTTGAGTGTTTTAATTTAGACATTAGGCTATGATGTAAGAAAATTGATACTTACGGAGTAAGCAGCCACCCATATGGGGCTGGGCACAAGGTCATATTGATCACATTTTAGGTGGCATTCCGAAAGTAGTCGAATCTACATAAAAGTAAGCAACATCAATTGATCTCCACACCTTCCAATTAAACCAATTCAAGCATTACTTTTATGTTAGTGAAATATTTAAATAATCTGGTTGAAATGAACTTTTTTTTTAAAGATAATTTAGCACAATGACGATGGAATTAGGAATTAAAAATAGGCCATGGACTATTTTGTGTATTTTATTAGGTATTTAATGATATAAGAAATTATCTCCATTAACAAGGACCTCTGCTTGGTATAGCTCGACCTCAATTGAAAAACCTGTTGAGGTTTGTTTATCTCTTGAGCATGTGAAAGGTCAACAATCTTAAGAGTAAGCACTGATAAAGAAAAGCCTGGAAATATAATAGGAACAAATTTAAAGCTATGATCTGATGAGTGGAGTATTTTGGCAAGCTGCTGGAACCAGAAAACAACTAGGTTTTGAAGGACCATGATGTTTGTAGCTCCCCACTCTAGATACTGACCACTGAAAAAAATTGAAACCTTCTGATATGGAGGATTCCCTGAAATAGATATAGAACCCTAAGAATAACAAAGCACCTGCCATTCTATTGGTTGAATTCTTCAGATACATTAGTGATGCAGTATTTTAATACTTTAATGATATGATTTATATAATAAGTGATTTCAGAATTGCTTCCTCTAAAGTACTTCTAATTTTGTTTATTTGAAATAATTAACCATCTCAGATTGTTAGTATTAATAAAAATGAATAAATATAAACTATGAAATAATAAAATAAAGGAAAAATAATACTATATAATAAAGGCAATGAATGAGGCCGAGCTCTCCCGATTGATCACAGACTCACGAACCTATCGTCAGTTCAGTCTGAAAATACATTCAACAATTAAATCACTAAGTAATTCGATGAATTTTCTGTCTTTGAAACCAAATGTTATGTGCTTGATGAGTTATTGCTTGGATAAACATGATTGAAATTTACAAATATATACTTAAAAGTTTAGCTCCATTAAAACTGTACCTGGTAACATTCAGTTGTGTGAAAAAGTCTCGCTCCTCATTTTTACTCTTGAACACCCAGTAATTCAAATAAAACTGGATATTCATCAGAAGATAATCGATAAAATAAAAATTATAGAAAAGTACAGTGGTGTGAAAAAATCTTCGAACAATCCAAATTTTTATAAACACAAAAAATTTTTGAATTTAAAAGTATTTTTATCTTATTAATTGTAAACTGATTTAATCTTGCAGACATAGTAGATTTAATATATATTGAAATACACATTATTTCCAATTGACAACAAGCCAAAATATCAATATGCTGTGTTGACATTTTTGTATTCTCTGAATAATAATACTTTTTTATTATTTAAAGTTCACTACTTTTTTATCCACTTTAGTCTTTACTTTTTATTGTTTAAGTCAAGAGCCATTGTATAAACTCTAGAAAGCTAATTGTATTTGTGAAAATTGTTGTAATATTAAAATTTTTTGTGTTTTTTCGGTAATTTAATTTAGCAGTCCATAATTTACTCAAAAATAAAGTTCTACACAATCAGCCTAAGCCCAGATGGTATTGCATGGTATGTAAAAATGCTATGATACCATTTTGCATCTAATTTTCCATCAATTCACAAGAGATCTCCCTCCAACTCTAAATCTAGAAACACTCCCCCCCCCCATATCATTAAGAAGCTATCTCTGTGTTTTACTGTTGGATGTTGCATATTGCCTTGTTTCGGAATCAAACATTTTAACTTATCTTTTCATAAACATTTGTTCCATTCTTCTTCTGTGAAATTTATATGGTGTTTGACAAACATAAGTCACTTTTGTTTGTTTAGAGATTGAAAAAATGGTTTCCTTCTGGTAGCATAACTTTTAAGGCCAAATAATAGGAGTTTCCTTCTGATCAAGGAGGTTGAACTTGGGTCCCTGTAAGCATTGGCTATTTCTTGAGCTGGTTCTCTGCTAATTTTTTTGTGCTCTTGCAAATAATAATTTCAAATGTTGTTGAGCAGCAAGATTGTTTTTTAGACCTACCTGAACATTTCAAGTCTCCAGTTTGCTTGGTATTTTAAAAATTTTCAATCACTTAAAGAATTCCAGAAATAAAACCTTCAAATTCTTTTCTAATTTCTCTGATTGTAGGTCCTCGTTGATACAAAATTATAATTTTGTCAGTTAAAGATGTTTAATTTTTCCATTTTCTGCAATAAAAGTAAGATTAAAAAGAAAACAAAAATACATACTCAAATTTATACATGAATTTATATATTAACATTCATACATGGAATGTTAAATTAAATTATGGATAAAATGCGAATAATTGCAATATTTTTAATATATGAACTTTATATAGTAATATATGAACTATTTTAATAGATACTCTCAGTTTTCTACAGTTTGTATAAAGGCTCTCTTGATATTAACAATAAATAGTAAAGACTGAAGTAGATAACAAAGAGTAAAATTTAAACAACAAGGTAGCATTATTCTAAGGGAAAAAAAACATCATCCCAATGGAATAATCCCTTGGCTTGTTGTTAATTGAAAATAATGCTAATTTAAGTATATATTACTTCTGCAATGTTAAATCAATTTACAATTAAGAAGATAAAAACACTTTTAAATTGAAACATCTAATACTTTTATGAAAATGCTTTTTCACATCACTATATATGCAATACAGATTCTCATGAGGAAACATAGTTAGTGCTTCAAATAAAGATTTTGAATTACACAAAAAAAAAGTTTTGGTGATTAAAAACTAATGTTAGCTGAAAAGTAAATAACATTATTAAAACATTCGATGTTCATATTTAATTATTTTGGTTTCAAATAAGCTGCCTCTCTCATCATTTGAAGTAATGAAAAATATATAAATATAAAGTAAAAATGAATTTTATGATGAATTAAAGTATAAATATTTTCCCAGATAGAATAAAAAGTTGATAAATGAAAATAATTGTAGGTACAATATATGTGTTATTTACTATTGGAAAACTAAAGTTTTTAGATTTATAACATATGTCCGTATGAGGTAATGGAGAGTGAGAAAAATGCATACATTTAACAGTTAAGGCTGATAGGAAAACATAATAATTCATTTTTTTAAATGAATATTCTGTACCATCTACTAGTTTTACTTTCACTTTTCCTTATATGTAAAAATAGCTATTTTGGCTTAAAGTAGGGCAGTAAGTGAAAGCTGTTAGATGTATGCACCACACCAAATGTTTCTTTTTCCTATCTTTAATCATTCCACTTTTTATTTCAGGTATGAGGAATATTTGAATGAAGAATCCAGAGTTAACAGGAAAAGTCAAACTGTGGATACCAGAGTGCATTGCTGTTTGTATTTTATTGCTCCATCTGGTCATGGATTGAAACCATTAGATGTAGAATTTATGCAACGACTTCATGACAAAGTTAATATTATTCCGGTCATTGCTAAAGCAGACACAATGACTCCTGAAGAATGTAGTCATTTTAAAAAACAGGTTTCTTTCAAAAGTCTTATTTTAATAAAAAAATAATTAAATAATATCATATACTAATGATTATCTCAATATGTATATATATATATATATATATATGTATATTTTTAGATTTTGAATGAGGTGGCTCAGCATCAAATAAAAATATATGATTTTCCTGATGAAGTTTTACCTCCTACTGCTGTTGGTGCTGCTGGTGCTGGTTCTGGTGCTGGAGCTGTTGATAGAAAATTAAGAGATAGAATTCCTATGGCTGTTGTAGGTAGCAATACAATTGTAGAGGTTGATGGAAAAAAATTACGAGGAAGGAAGTATCCATGGGGTGTTGCAGAAGGTAATATATTATTTATCATCCCTGTATCACATCTGATAATACAGCTATATATTGTTTATTGATACTTTTCTAATATTGCCAGTTACCTTACTTTAACTACTATTTTTTTTTTCATTTTTAGTTGAAAACTTGGAACATTGTGATTTTATTGCTTTAAGAAATATGTTGATATGTACGCACTTGCAAGATTTGAAAGATGTTACAGACAGCGTTCATTATGAGAACTACAGATGTCGAAAACTAGCTGGTCTTGGACATGACAGTAAACAAACTCGTGCTTCCAACAAGTAAGCAAATATTTCTGTCTTTCTTTATAAAGTTAGTCTTATGTACATCATTGTTTTCTTTTATTGCAACATTGTTTTTATTAAATGGTTATTGGTTTATATTCATTTGGTGCTAGTTTTCCACATTTTTATTGAATAGTTCTTTACTACTCTTTTTTAGTGTCTCCCCTTGGCCACAATAAGTAAACTTATTTATCTAGGCTCATAAAAAAAAACTTACACTGCTCTATGAAGGCTGTTTGAAATTGTGGAGAAGATGGGGGGGGGGGGGTAGTTGAATATTGGTAGATTTGGTGATATTACTTGCTTTAGTTTTTTTTTCTCAATATCACATTTTATGTTGATGAGAATGTTTTCCCAATAATTAGAACATTTATTTCATGAACTTCACTATTACTCAAACTGCTCCTGTTGTCATATAACAAAAAATATTAGTTGTAACATTTATATAGTCTTCACTTTACATAGTCAGGAGCTGTTCTATTGACCAAGCAAACTAAGAAGAAAGAAATAATTGAAATGCATTTCAAATCATTAGAAATAGCCCTGCCTTGGAATAAGATTTATAAAAATGCTCTGTAATTTGGCCACATTATCCTTGTAACATTTTTGTGTTTCTACTTTTATAAATTTCACTCATAATCTTATACTGTTCAATCTTGTTAATTTAACACATGTGGACCAACAAGTTGTTGGATTATCAAATACTCCAGACTACGTAGGGTCCCATTTAAATGATGAAATATGAGGGAATGTATTCCAAATAATGCAATGCCAAAATTGTTTTGTTAGTACTTATTTATTAAGAAAAAATAATGGCCATAAGCTACATATATTACAACTTCATAACTAGAAATGAAACATTTTTCAACAAGAAAACTACCATGATCCCTGCCACTTCCTTCTATACCAGATCAAAATGTCGGACTATCAAGATTTTTTTCTACTTCTCATTAGATTATTTTTATTTTGACTGATGGAAAATATTGGCTTCATTAACAGCAAAACTAAAAAAATTTAGTTTATAAAAATTTTAGTACTAATTAAATAAAACTGGAGTAAGATATTTGTCTTTGTTTAAAATCTGCACAACCTCAAAAGTTTTTAGAACAATAACCAATAGGAATTAAATTATCAATTCCTTTAAATGTTATTGGATTCATACCCTAACTATATTACTTTTTTTTTATATTCTGTGTTCTATCAAAATCTATACGATTTCTGTCTCAATAAAATGTTGAACTCCTTTGAAATTGAGTCCAAGCTGATGAACTTAACTGTGTTATTTTAATTTTTCACTTATATTTTCTGTAAAGATAATTTCTGATAAATAGTTGAACAGTTCTTTCTGTAACGTCATTGAGAGTTAACAATAAGTTCTGTGGTGTATTTCTTTATTTAATCTTTTAGAATTAAACAAAGAAAACATTTTATAACATAATGATAATGGCAGAAGTGAGATTTTTTATTATTTATTACAATCTAGTTTCACTCTTCAACAAAATATTGAATTCCTTTTTAATTAAAGCCTAGAGATTAGTTTTTGCATATGAGTTATTGACATTGTCAGTATGGAAATCTTGTTTTCTTCTTTTTGTATGTGTGCGTGTGTTGGAATCTGATGGATAAAGGAGTTGCATAAGAATTTCAGTTTTGTTGGTCTGTACATTCAATTCAATGCACATTATGTTTTGTTGTTAGTTGTTTGCATTATGTTACCTCTTTTATATAATTAACTATTTCTTGGCTAATGGATCTAGTCTCATGGTCCTCGACAAAACCCCAGGAAGACCTATCAGATTTGATAGTAGGAAAGCCCCATCACCTAAAAAACATGACATTGTCATTTCTGTTTAATTTAATGAATTTTTTTCAACTTAATTTTTCTCTACTTATCAAAATAAATTAAAAATACTTCTAGATAGGATTAACCTAATATAATGTTGTTGTTTTTTCTATTGGCATTAGATACCTTGTAAATCTTTTGCTACTTTAACCAGCCTTCTCCACCTCTGCCTATTTTTTCCTAGTTATCTGCATGCATCTCTATTGCGTCTTGGTTGATTTGATCTATCAATCTACTTTTTGGCCTTCCACTTGCTCTTTTGTCTACTTTTGAGGCATTTATTGTGTAAAAGCGTCCTGAAGGATTACTTTAAACAATATGTCTCGTCCATCTTAACCTCCTTGCCTTCATACATGAGATATTGATTGACCAGTTTCTGTAAGCAGCTCTTAATTGGTTATTGTGCATAGAATTTTTCTCTCATATCTTTCAATACTTCTTTCTAGGATGCTGGTTAGTGTCCATGTCCCACAGCTCTGTATCAGAACTGACTTGTATCATTGTATACCCTTATTTTAAGATTTCTGGAGATTTTTCGTGATTTCAATACCTTTGAAAGAGATAGGAAAGTACTGTTTGCGCTTGTTATAAGTTTATTACTGACCATTGTGCATTCGTTGAGGGTATTGTGGCGCTGAGGTATTTGAATTTGTTTACTCTCGGGAATGATTTCCCGTCTATGCAGATCCTGTTATTGGGGTAGAATTTTTAACTTATCTTATATGTTATAGGCTGATTTGCTCTGCTTCTCGTTATCACATTCTTACCCAGTTTCTCAATATCCTCTTGATTGTTTCTAAGGGCAACTATTTCATCAGCATATCCAAAGATTTTATAATTCATTCCGACATGCTCCACTGTCAATTCCCAGTCATTACGACCATTGGCAAATCTGCTGGATGCTCCAACCATCCTCAAGTCCCCACCCACCAAGTCTTTCCACCTTCCCTTCTGTCTTCCGCATTATCTGACTCCATCCAGAGTTCTATAATGTAATTACCAGGCTGCTCTACCATCATCCATCCTGATTATGTGTTCTAGCCATTTGAGATGCTGAATTCGTACAAAATGAGAAACTCCTACTTCTCCTTGTTCCTTCTCAAGCGATACAATTTTATACCTAATAGGTCCCATAATGCGCCTTAACACTTTTCTCTCAAACCATTTAAGTTGCACAGGCCTAAGTCAATATGGGTTGTAGTATTGTTTTTGACAGTAATTTTGGTATTTCAACTTGAGCAGTTTACTTTGGATAAAACTTCTTCTTAGGGCGAATAATGCTTTGTTAGCCCCAGTAGTATGATTCTAAATTTTCTCTTCCTCCATCTGATGATTTAATATGGAGTCAAGATACTTCGGAATAGATACATGCAGACGACCCAATCAGAGCCACACCATCAGCATAACCAAATATTTGGGTCATTTCATGAAAAATTTTACCTATCTTAAGCTTGACTCTTATCACCATTACTTGGAGGTCATTATTAAATAGCAGTGGCGAGAGAAGTTCACCCTATCGAACACCTGACTTGACTGCAAAAGGTTGACTCAGCTTCCCATTTATTTTCACTCGACTTACACTCTGTCTTAATGTACATGCTGCAAGTCAGATTAACTTTGTTAGGAAGTTCTCATCTCTTCCATTACCATGTCGAGCTTCTTTCTGATGATGTAATCATACACAGCTTTAAAATCAATGAAACTGATCCATACATTCTTATCAAATTCCTTTTTTTTTTTTTCCATTATACGTATTAAGGAGACAACCTGGTTGATAGTTTACCTGTTCCTTCTGTAGCCTTCCTGGTAATCATCCTGCCGGGGATTACAAATTACACTATTCGGTTGGATAAAATAATGGAAAAAAATTTGCTAGCAGTGTTCATCTGGCTGTCTATTCCCTACTAATTTTCCTGCTAATCGATTCCCTACTCATTGTTGCATTTTGTGGAAGCAGCTTTCTTCATAAATAAATTCCAGCTATCCGGCGTTTTTTCGCCTTCCCAAATTTTTATGATTAAATGAGTTAGCTCCTAAAACAGTATTGACCCACCAATCTTCAGAAATTCTACTGCTATAACATCTGAACCTGAGGCCTTTTTTTTCTTAATTGGTTTATAATCAGGCTAGCCTTTGAAAAACTCCTCATCTTCTCTGGGATTTGGTAATTCTTTAAAATGCTCCTCCCACCTGTCTTGTGTCTAAGTTTATCCTACTTCACCGATAAAATTTCTGGCCTCCTTGTATTTACTGTTCCCTTCTATCTTACGCAAGTTTGTCTGTAATGCATATATTTTATTTTGCCTCAGCACATTGTTTGCATTAGATCTGGCAATGTGTTATGTTTTTCTGTTCTGTCTGGTATTTATCATTATTTAAAAGTTGTTTCCTCTTTTCATTCCACACATTAATTGCTTTTTCACACTCTCAGTCAAACCACACAATATAATTTAACTACCAGTTCTTGTCCAGCCTTCAAACCTCTGATAATTTTGCTCTGATAATGACCCTAACATCGACAAACTCAATGAACATAATTTTTTGGCTGCATATCCTGGCTATTTTTAATCCTTATAATTTTACTGTTGTAATTATATTCAGTTACATAGTTTTATAAATTACATTTTAATTATGTAAGTAAAAATTGAGTCTTGGAAGAAAGTGTGGAGTCTTGACATTTTCATGTTCTCTAAAACAAAATTTAGAGCTTATACTTAAAAATTATACTGTATGGACCACCAGGAAGTGATATAAACAAAAGAAACATATCCTAATGGTAGAGTTGTTAAGGGTGAAGATTTATTGTTATTTTTATTCACAGGGCTTTACTTAAGCTCATGGCTGCTTTTATAATTTTAAAAAGTATTGTAAATCACTTTTGAGAGAATTTAAACTTATTTTGTAATTGGATATTTTTGCCACTTATTGTATTAATATATATATACTAGATTGTACAAAAGTCCTTGTGCATGAACACAACCCTTAATTTCAACTCTTATAATTAATCCTATAAGAATGTTTTGTTTCAACCATTTATGTCAATGTTTACTTTAATCCTTCAATTATTTGTGACTTGAGTTGGCTTTATGGGATCATTTATATTTTTAAAACACACTTGCAGTTTTAGAAGAAGAATTGTGATTCATGGTATTTT